GTGAGCCACACATGCTGGTCTAGTTCAAAGGCGTGCGCCAGCAGGCCAGACTGGGCAAGCTCTGTGCCACCATGTGCAGCGCATAATTTTGAATTTTTCTGCACATAATTCCCTGGGGTGTGAAAAGTAAACACCATTACAGAAGCAGACACAATATTTTATTGCATTTCAAACATAAGCACTTGAGAAACCCATAACTTGACCTCAATTTTGTTTCAGTGATGGGACAAAATAGGAAATACCTTCCCATGTCATATGTGGAATTGATGTATTCTTACATTTATCAGGGATGACTGAATTCTTCTCTTAAATTTGCGTTTGAAAGCTGTGAAGTCGAAAATGTCAGTTTCTCCTCCTATAATGCAAACAAGACATCACTTTTTGTAAGCATTGTATTTTGTATTTCATCCTGTGCTAAAGCAAAATGGCATTACAATGATATAGCTTTTAATGCAAAATTAAAAGCTACATGACTGTTAGGCAGATCAAAATAAGTATCATAACAAGTTTTACTTATAGGTAGAGGTGCACTGAAAAAGATTTTCCTGGCTGATACTGATGGCTGATTATTAACCAGCCATATGAGCCAATACCGATCCAATTGTTGATATCCAGCCCGGCAGCTTGGAAAGCAGCGTCCAGCTAGTAAGTCTATGGGGGGTAGAAATTGAGGCCGCCATGGTGAGGGAGGGAGTGGGGCTGGGGCAGGGACAGGCACTGCCCAGTCAGGGCGGAGCCGTGGGCAGTCTGTCCCAGGCGTGTGGCTCCCCAGGCTGCATGCACCCCCAGGAGTGGCATGGGGGGTATGTGCCCCCCAGACTTGCATGAGGGGTGAGGGCAGGCTGCCTGCTGTGGGCTTGGGGCCTTGTGCCCCCCCCGACTTTCCTGCTGGGAGCTGCTCTCCACACCACTGCCTGGTTGTGTTGTTTTAATTTAAGATACTAATATTAAAACAAACAAGTATGACTGGTCATAAACTTTAAATAAGCTTAATAATGGTTAGCCTTGGTGTATCCTTTGCCACTTTCTGATACTGTTGTTTCAGACTAACCTATACTGGTTTCTTGCACTGAAAATATCACCTCAAGGGGAGTCCACTAGTTGATACAAAAAATGCTCCAAATGTATCATAAAAGCATATACTGACCAATGAAGGGTAATTGGAACATTCAAAAGTCTACAAAAAGTTAGATTTTGTAGCAGCCTTTTAAAGAACCAAAAGTAATCCAACATTCTCATTCTATGCTTCAATTACAAAGACAGAAAAAGTCTGTAAAGCTCAAAATTTCTAGAAGTCATGGTTTCCATTGGCTATGTTGGGAAATTCCTCAATCTCTTGGCACCGTCCTGCCTTAGTCCTCTCTCATCCAATGAGGCAGAACTGTTAGCTAAATAGAAAAAAATATATATAGGCGGGTAGAAAATCACGCTTGATAGACCATAGCGCTGCACTGGTGGTGATGGCTAACACTTCTGCAGTTAACCTTTTCCACTGAATCTGGCAGAAAGGGTTTGGGCTGTGCATTCACGGAGAGCGTTGGCCCTTTGTCCCAGTGCTCGATAGCCTTGACTCGCTCAGGGCTGACCATTCAAGTCCCCTATTCCCTCCCTCAAGGTCTACTTTAGAAGTAAAAATTGTACACTTTGATGGAGGGCTGGAGGTGCCTTCGACAAATTCCTTAAGCTTATGTTTAACGATACATCACGTATCTCCATGTATAGCATCTGACTGGAGGCAGATGATATAATAAATACTGAGTGACCTTCCTGCCACTTTAATAGAAAAAGTGGTATCTGCACACGGAGGGATGAACCTCTTTGGACTGCTGTATATTACTAAGACCAAGAAGAATGAGAATCCTGTAGAGGTCCTGTAGAGAATCTTTGAGAAAAATCTTACATACCTGTTGCTTTGGTCATTTGGTAAACCGTCCAAACCCTTTTGTTCTGAAAGGTATGGTTGTCTGGGGAAATAAAAGTTGCCCAAAAGAGTGATGCACAAATAATTTTTTTTTGACTAAACTATTTCCATACATTATTTAAAATCAGATTCCTTTCAAAACTTCCCTAACACCAAATATATTCTAATCTAGAAGTAAAAATAGAGATTTTTTTTATATAAGAGGCATGAAATCCTCTTGTAATTTGACTTCAGCAATTAATGGAAAGATAAACTCCTTCTAATTCACCAAACTGCAGCAAGTGCAATGTATAAATTACTGTAACTCATTCTTAAATCAAATTTAAAAATTCAGGATTTGGAAAAACTTGACAATCCTAGACTATACAGAGCTCTCAAAGTAGTTGAGAATGCAGTTGAAGCCATACACAACAACATTTGACAAGAGAAATCCCTGAACCAGCTATTATCTACATAAAATTAATATTACGTTTGTAGTTCCATGTAAATTATTAGGCAATGGTGATTGTTCCAGATGTCACTGTCCAAATTAAACTTCAAAAACCACCACTGGGGAGAATTTGAAATACATTTTATTTGACCCATGACCTTGATGTTCCACATGATTTGAAACTTCTATTTGAATATTTTCTCATGTGTTTTCTAATCTAGAAATGGGAAGATAAGATCAACCAGTTTTGTTGTACAAAAAATATTTTTAAAACACTAAACACACTTAAAAGACAAATCAACTGCTTATACAACAACCATAAATGTCAAGCAAAGTAAAAAGAAACAACACTTTTACTTACAAACAATGTCTAGAACTGCTGCTTCCTTTATACTTGCAAGGTTTTCCTGAAAAAATATTGATAGTACAAGGTAAATCATAGGGCCGTAAGTTTTCATGGAGCTACATTAAAATAGCAATTCAAAGAAACTTACAATTTAGTCCCAGGAATAGATATCGTTTAAAAGAAAACATAAATTAAAGTCCACAGCATGCAAGGCCTTTTCCAAAGTAAAAAGGCAAGATGATCCCAGTCTCAAATAGCATCCAGAATAATGATACCTTAAGCTAACACTCTTCTACCAAAACAAAGCATTTTTTCATATTTAAAAAATGAAAAACAGTAAGAACCCTCCTGAAGTGCACAGTCTATTTGGGATTCAATAACTCAGCAAAAAAAGTGTCTTTCTAGAGATACAGAGGTATAAGTTAAAATCTCCCTTTTGACTTGCACCAAATGCTGCCCTCAAGACAGCCAGGTGTAAAAGGATACCCAATGACAGCCTAGGAGTCAGATTCTGCTGGACACGATGCTAGACCAGGGGTGGGCAAAACGTGGCCCATGGGCCAGGTGCGGCCGGCCAGGCCATTCTATCCGGCCTGTGGGTTCCCTAAAAAATTTAGAAAATTCATACTTATCTGCCCCTGGCTGCCGGTCATGCAGCCCTCGATGGCTTGCCGAAACTCAGTAAGTAGCTCTCCGCCTAAAATAATTGCCCGCCCCTGTAGTCCCTGTGTGCCACCACCTACAAAATCTGTCATGTCTTAACCCTAGCCTGAGGGGTCACACAGGGTCAGTGGCTCTTTAACTTAAGTACTCCTTCTGGAGAGACTGCAATTTAAGTATTTCAGACCTGTGTTAATGTTTACAACAGTAATTCTCAGCCAGGCCGAAACCAGCAGGTAGTTAAGTTTAAAATGAACACAAGGAAGTTCTTTTTCACCCAGTGCGTTGTTAGCACGAAACTCGTTGCCACCAGACGTGGTGGAAACTGACAGTTCACAGCCAGATGCAAAAGGGGCTTGAATATGTTCTTAGAGCAGCAGTTGTCAACCGGGGGTACTTTGAAGGCCCCAGGGGGTCTGTGGTAACCGCTGCGCACTGTACCACCGCTAGGGACTCCCTGTTTTTCAACTGGCTGCTGGGGGTACACCCACCAAAAAAAAGGTTGAAGACCCCTGTCTTAGAGGAAAGGGGCATCAGCAGCTATTGAGCACGAGATTTAGGGGCATGGCCTCTGACTCAGAGCTTCCTAGACCAGGGAGGCTGCAAGTACGAGAAGAACAGTGGGAGAAGCCCAGCTCCATCTCCCTTCCCGCATCCGCTCCCTGCCGCTGTGCGACACCTGAAACTGGACCTAGGTATGACCCAACAGCTGGCACCGCACAAGGCTGGCACTGTTGGGGGCGGGTACAAACACGACCCGCAAGATACACCTAGAGATTTCCAATAGGAGTCCACAGCTGCAGCTTCGGTTCGACGCAAGAGCAACAACCGCTCTATGATCTTTTCGAGGCCAAGCAAGCGAAGAGCTGGCATTTCCCAAGGCGGGGCCAGGCAGGTTGAGAAGGGCCAGGTTCGGCACTGGGCTTCTACGGGCGGCAGTCCTGCCAGGTGTACGATAACGATCGTCTCGATATCACGATTTCAACCTCCGCACAATCCTTAACGATACAACAGGTCAAAACGCACGATCAATCTTTGAGGCAGCACGTGCAAAACCCAAGTCTCTCTCAGGGAGCCAGTCGTAACCCACCTGCTCGCCACCAACAAAAGAAATGTCCCGCTCGGCAATATCGAGGGCAGACCGCGAGCGATACCAAGGAAGTAAGACGACGACTTATTTTCATACTTTTCCACCTCGTTGGGATGCTTCCCGTACAACGGTGTCGTGCTTAAGGAGGGCGGGCTTGGAGAGGAAGGAGCCCGCCCGGCCCGATAAACAGGCCGCCCCGGTAAGGCCCAGCACCGCGCTCACCTGGCAGAGCTGCACCACGGCCTCGGCGATCGCCTCCTTCAGCGGCCGCATGTCCAGACGCCGTTACTGGGGGGGGCCTTCCCCTTCCCCTTCCCCCGGCCCCGCCGCGCCCCTCACTCGCTCACCCGCCCGCCGCACCCCGGCTGCGCCGCCCGCGCGCCGCCATCTTCCTCGCGCCAACCGCCGCCGCTCGAACCAGCCAATCCGGCGCCTCAGCGCGTTGGGACCACCCAATCAGCGCGCGGCCCGGCCCCGTTCAGCTGTGACCCGTGACGCCAGTTCCGGACCGCCAGCTGCATCCGGGTCACGTCCCCTGCCCAGTGAGGTGAGAAGCTGCAGCCGTTGGGGTGGGGGGGTGACACTTCCTTTCCGCACTCAAGGAGGCAGCGAGCACCAGTGGTTTCTCCCCCTTCCCGGGGCCCGTTGTTTCCCTTCAGTACAGGCATCCCTGCCCGAGCACCGGCTCCCTGAACCGGGGAGCGGCCTACAGGTCTCCTTTCGGGCACGCTCCTTGTTGAACGCGGCTCGTGTAAGAGTCGATTCAGGCCGTGGCGAGCAGCCCCTTGGGCCTGTGGCTGGGTGGGCGGTGCCACCGGGCCCAATCCAGCCCCTCTATCCAGCGCATGGGGGTGGGTGCAGCTGGGGCCCTGTGTCGTTGTGTGGCAGGGCGCTGCCTCATCTGGCTGCCCAGCAAAGCACCTGGCCTCAGCCCGGAGCCGATCTAGATGTGTCTAGCAGCAGCCCAGGTTAGCCAATTCGGTAGCTGAGAGTGATAGCAGTGTTAATTCCCTGGCCTGTGAGGACCCCCGTAGGCTGGGGGCCGAGCACCCCTTGGTGAAACTGCCAGCAAGAAAAGATCACGTCTGTTCCACGTACGCTCTGATGCTAAAGAATTACTAGCAAGTAAATACAAAAAAACTAGAACTCTTGGTTCCAAAATGATACCTTTTATGAGACCCAACTGGGAAATCGCAAGAAAACTGTCCTTTTCTGCAAGCTTTTGGGATCAAAGTCCCTTTGTCAGGCTCAGGGAAAAGTACAGATGGTACAAGATGGCAAAAAGTCCCCATCGGTAGGAAATAAACTTAATTTTTGCACAGAGGGAGCTGCAGGTGGAAGGCTGTCCCTCGGGGTCCATGCCAGTGTCTCTGTGAGCTGTGCCGAGTAGCTCTTTGATGTGTAGATCAGGTAGGATTCCTCCCCTGGAGGTGTCCGACAGCAGGCAGGGAGGTAGAAAATTTTCCTTGTTCTGCAGTGACCTTTCAAATCCAAAATCGGCTAAAATGTGGCATCTTCCATGTTTTGACGTTTCCATGTAGCGAGTAAGTAAAACTCGCAAGGAGCACCCACATATAAAAGCTGTGATATGCTGGAAGTTGGAGCATGTGCATAGGCTCTTATATGCATGTATCAAACACACTTCTCTTCCTATTCCCTGCCAAATTTCAATACAGAGAAGTTAGGGCCAAATTCTTCCACCTTGACTCCTGTTAAAATCTGATTTTTACTGTGGAATTAAGGCTGAACTGCAGGATCCCGTGGCTAATTTATCCAAGATTCAGCCTGATTTCCGTAGAAACTAGTGCAAACAAACGGCTTGGGCTTCTGAATTGGTTACAGAATAGAAATTGAATTGTCATTTTGTTTGATGAACTTTTAAGGAGCATTTCTTTCTTTTTTTTTTTTTTTTTTTAAAGAACTATAAATATAAAGTCAGTAGTGAATGAGGCCCTGCAATAGGATACCACTGAGACCTGCTGACATGCTAGTATCTGCAGGGAAAAATGTGTTTTGTTGCCATGGGGTTGAGCAGAAAAAATTTTTGTTTTGTGGGAAGTTGAAGGACCAAACTTAACTTGTGTATGATAATTGGGCAAAAACCTGCCCCCAGTTTGAAATTAAAAAAAAAAGTTACACACACATGTATGTGTGTGTGTGTATGGATGTACTTAAGTTGCAGTGAGAGAGAATTTTTCGTGGCATGCAGAGCTGCTTTTACAGACATCTTGCGGTGGCCCCACCTCTCAGCAGTGATTGTGGAGGGGCCTTGGTGCTGATCTTTATTGCTGGCTGCCCTTTGTGCGGCCCCACCCCTCAGCGCTGATTGGCGGAGAGGCCCCGGTGGAAGGGAGGACAGAAGAGGGGGCAGCTGCCATCTTTGCTGCTCTTCATTATGCCCCGTCAGCTAGCGCCTTCTCCTCCTGCAAGCTGAGGCTAAAACTTTTTTCTTAATCAACTATAAAATTCATTTTTTGGGGAAGTTTCCAGGATGGAAATGATTTATTACAGTGATATCACATTCTGCTGCTTCTAGCCATATAGCATTTAAGAAGATTGGCTCCTTCTCTGTATCTAGATTGCAGTCTTCTCTGCAGACACTTATCTCTCATCTCAGCGCTAGCATTTTCTTCTTTGGCCTTGAAAGTAGTTGTGCTGCTGGAATGGACTTTGCTGAAAAAATGCTAGAATTATCTTCCTGGTTGCTTATTCTCTTCATGTCTTTCATGAAGTACCTGCTGGGGAGCCAGCATTTTATTTTATTAAGTTTTTTTGTTGATTTTGCAGACAATCCCAGATTTCGTAGTTTCTGTGAAACCACAAATTAAGTAGATTTCTATTTATATAGGGTGGGATACGAGTGGTACTGAATATAGACTGCTGGTCGAGACTGATTAGTGAGGATGCCAAATTGTTGATCTGAGAGACGTTCAGCTAACAAATAGTTTAGGTCCAGAATATAATTCTTCTCGTGTCAGAGTTTTGTATAACATAATATAATCGTGAATTAAATAATGTTTAAAAGCACATTTTATTTTGTTTTGTTTTTAAAGAAACTTTCTTCAGTGATAAATGTGACAGCACTGTTATTGGGAATTTCAAAAAACAGAACTGATAGGTCTACTTCCTGTATCAAGTACAAATGATAAATTATATCAGTGGAGAAAGTAAAAATGGGGTATAGTTGTTTCTCTAGTGTTGACAGTAATGCTTGCTTCTCATGATTACTGTGCCACCTTGTGGACATCTTTATTCTTTTTTTGGAGCTTACTATAAATTGTTCTAAGATAATTTTATGAAATGTGAAAGCTTAATACAATAAAATAGTACCATTTTCTAATTTAGATTTTACATTTACTGATTTATGCTTTATAAAATACAAAATAATTTTATAAAAATAAAAATGTGGGTTTCTGTTTTGATACATGTTTGACTATAGATTGACATACAGGATTCATCTTTCATACAGATGTACCAGGAATAGTGTTGCTAAGAATCTATGAATCACTTAATTGTTCTTGTGTTGTGTTAACTAGTGTCATAAGCGAATCAGTAAGTGAGACAAGTTCTCCTTCCAGTCTAACCTAGAGTACATGGTGTTAAAAAAAACAACTAGATGAACTCAGGTATTTTCTGTTTTTAGCATAAGTCTTTGCAAAAATTCTCTCTCATCTCTGCTACTGTTGAACAAATAGGATTCACCCCCTTAGCATTTTAGCATCGTATGTTTTCAGTACATACTCAGGCAGACAGAACACTCTTCTTCCTCTATAATCCGTATTTAAAAAAAAAAAGTGCTCATGAATGGTGCCAAATTAATAGTCCTGAATTTGTGAAATTGTTCAGAGAACACACATTGCAGTGTCAGCTGTGCCTCCTCCTTGATGCATAGTCAGCATGCCTCAGTTAACTGTACAAGTTCCTCTACCAGTGAGATGCATGCCTTTACCACAACAACTGGACTGAGGTAACTAATTCACTTAACACAGGGTGCTTATACACAAGCAGCAAGGCTGCTCCAACACACTGGAATTCCAGCATGTTAACAGCTGGAGCATGGCAATTGCTGTGTTCCCACAGTCTCCTGCGCCTCGTGTATTAGCATCCCCGCGCTTAAAAATGGTGTCATGGGCGCTTGAACTAAAGTTTGTTTGACGAGCTTTAGTTCAGTGCCCCTGCCACCATTTTAAAGCACAGGGAAATTGATACACAAGGCATGGCAACACGTTAATTAGATTGGCTTTCGGAACTGCTCTAATTAAAGCGCCGTTTTGGAGAACGTGTAAAAGTGCCCACAGACATCTGAAGAGGTGCCCTGCACTAATGACTTCTGGTTGCTAGTGGATTTGGTGCAGCAACTTCAAGTGAGAGATGGTTTCCTCTTATTAGTTCCCTACTGTGAGATCTTTATTCTACTCTTTAGGTGACCTACCTGTGAATGAGTGTTGGGAATGTTATAAGATGCATGTTGGAGAAGTAGCTACCACAAATAAAAAATGTATTGGAGGCACACTCCCAGTAATACATATAGCAGCATGGCAGTCTCAGAGAAACAAAGTAGCTGTTCTTTGTGGCTTCGATAGGTGAAATCCTTTTTTAAATCTTTGTTGCTTATTCTTTGCTATCATGTCTTAATTATACTTTCAAGTCAAGTCCTATAATGGAAAAAATTCTTGTTTTTAAAAAGGATTAATTACCTCGTGTTGAGAGGGAGAAGTCACCGGCAAAAATGCTCTAGCTTTGTGAAAGCGTATGTAGACTGTCTCTCTAGGATAGTATGCAAAAAGCTTAAACTGTGGCCTTACAAAGGGCCACAGCTGTGAGGGCCACTGATGGCAAAGGCAGGGAGTGGAGACAGCTTAGAGGAAAAGTAGGTCTCCTCTCCAGATTTGTAAGAGGTCAGTTGTTTGTAGGTGGCAGAAAGGGCACTACTTGCGCTTTTTTACATTTGCCGTGGCATTATATAGCTCAGGCAAAGGACGTGTAGGACTTACGGGCCCTGGAGAAAAGGACTGGAAGAGATTGTTTGATCCCTTAGCAGAGAGCATGAGTTGTGAAATGCAGCCGACAAGGGCAGGAACTGATTGTGCTGTGGATTAGCCTAGTGAACTGTTCGTTATGGTGTAATTAATTAGATACAAGAAGGGGTGGAACACAAACCAGATTGTATGTTGTGTGGAGGACAAGTATCGCTGGGGTACAGAAGAGGGGAAACTGGGAAGTGGTGGGACACTGGGAAGGAGAGGCCCTTGCTACTGTACTCCTCATTAACAAGTTATGTAATACAGCTTCCTTTTCTGTGGTAGAAAAAGCCTTTCTGCATTTGGCCTTCAGATACCATGAGGATGTGTCCTATATAAGAGTCGAGTGTTTGTTTGGGTTTTTTTGCCCCTTTCCTTATCTCTAAGTACTTAATCACTTCCTGGGGTATGCCAACTAGGGGAAGGTATTGTCAGTTCTTCTGTTTAGTATTCAGCTAAGTTCTCTCTCGTTAGGTTTCCTTATTTTTTATCAGTTTGGATCATGAGTTTTGTAATAACTACCTCATAATTTAACTCTAAACCCTAACAGTTTGGGGAAAAACGGCCAAAGTAATGAAGCTGAAGTAATTATAATTAATATTAAAGTATAAGCCACTGTAGAATGAATGGTTTCTTGTTATTTAATATGACTTTATTAATAGTTCTTGCCAGGCACTTTGTTTTTCTGAAACAGTTAGAGCTAAAACAGTGTCTTTTTTCTTAATTAAGTATAAAGATTCATATTCTTTTAGAAGTTTCCAGGATGGAAATAAATTATTTCAGTGATATCATGTTCTGCTGCTTCTAGCTATATAGCATTTAAAAAGATTGGCTCCTTCTGTGTATCTAGATTGCAGTCTTCTCTGCAGACACTTATCTCTTATCTCAGTGCTAGCAGTTTCTTTGGCCTTGACAGTAGTTGTGCTGCTGGAATGGACTTTGCTGAA